ACACACACACACACACACACACACACACACACACACACACACACACAGTCCATAGATAACTTACCAGGGATTGGTATCCTAGGTGAGACACACAAGAACACTGCTTACATATCTAGGAAGCCTTCTGAGTCTGATGAAAATGCAGGCACACACTTCACTAACACTAGTCAATTCCTGAGGGTTCAGTCACCTCCCAAAGGCACAACAAGTGCTAGGGTCCATACACTAGTGGTTTCAGGGGTGGGCTATCACTGCCAACAGAAGTACCTTTCTTCTTCCTTGGTAAATTCTCCACCACATTTCATGGGGAAGACCAGGCTGGTTGCCCAATATACTTCAACATCTAGCAGCCTGTTTGTTAGCACTTCATGAAAGCTGATGGCCAACCTATTGCTTCTGTCCATGGTGCTGGTAGTTCTGTTATTTGGAGCCTAGTAGGAACACATCTAGTCACTTTTTCACAATACTCCTTCAAGACACAGCAAATCAGATTCACAGAATCTCAGAGTTGTGAGGGGCATCAGAGGCTTCTGGGCAATCTGTATCAGAATAACTCACATCATCAACTGCCATTTTTATCAGACTGTCCCCACAGATATCTCAAATTAAACATGCTCAAGATAAAACTCATTGATTTAAATAAGAAGGAAGTGAAGAAGATAAATAGAATTTTAGAGAAGCTAGATATGATAGATATCTAGAGAGAACTGAATGGGAATAGAAAGGAATATACCTTTTTTCTCAATGGTACATGGTACCTTTACAAAAAATAACCACGTATTAGGGCATAAAAATTTTATAGTTGAATACAAAAGAGCAGAAATATTAAATGTATCCTTTTCGGATCATGATGCAATGAAAATTAAATGTAACAAGAGACTACGGAAACACATTACAATTAATTGGAGGCTAACTTAATCTTAAAGAATGAGTGGGTTAAAGAACAAATCATATAAATAACAAATAATTTTATTAAAAAGAATGATAACAATGAGACAACATACCAAAACCTATGGGATGCAGCAAAGCAGTAATCACAGGAAAATTTATATCTCTAAATGCTTACATCATTAAAATAGACAAAGAAAAAAAACCTAGAAAAAAAAAACAAATGAAAAATTTCCAATTAGACACCAAATTGGAAATCCTAAAAAACTGAAGGTGAAATTAATAAAATTAAATGTGAGAAAACCATTGATTAATAAATAAAACTAGAAGTTGATTTTATAAAAAAATAAAATGGATAAACTATTGATTAATATGATTAAAAAAAGAGAGAGAAGAAAAAAATCACTAGTATAAAAAATAAAAGAGTGAATATACCACTAATAAAGATGAAATCAAAGCAATTATTAGGAGTTCTTTTGCCCAATTATATGCCAATCAATTGAACAATTTAAGTGAAATGGAAAGATACTTACAAAATATAAACTGCCTAGGTTAACAGAAGAGGAAATAGAATATGTAAATAAACCCATTTTAGAAAAAGAAATTGAACAGGTCATAAATGACCTTCCTAAGAAAAAAGCATAAGGAGCAGATGGATTTCCAAGTGAATTCTACCAAACATTTAATTATGTTCTTTTATTATTATAGATTTACAATATTAAATAAATCATTTGGAGTAATAGGCAAAGAAGGAGACCTACCAAATTCCTTTTATGAAACAAATATGGTGCTGATATCTAAACCAGGAAGAATAAAAACATAGAAAGAAAATTATAGACCAATTTCACTAACAAATACGGATGCAAAAATCCTAAATAACATGCTAGTTAGGAGACTACAACAATATATCACAGAGATTATGCATAGTGACCAAGTGGGATTTATACCAGGAATGTGGGAATGGTTTAACACAAGGAAAACTATTAACGTAATTGATTATATCAATAACAAAAGTAACAAAAGTCATTGATTATGTCAATAGATGGAGAAAAAGCTTTTGACAAAATACAACACTCATTCCTATTAAAACACTTGAAAACATAGATATGAACGAATTTTTTCTTAAGATGACAAGAAACATCTACCTAAAACCACAAACAAGCATTATTTGTAATGGGGATAAGCTAGAAGCCTACCCAGTAAGATCAGGAGTGAAACAAGGATGCCCATTATCACCAATATGATTCAGTATTGTACTAGAAATGCTGGCAGTAGTAATAAGAGAAGAAAAAGAAATTAAAGGAATCAGAATGGGCAATGAGGTAATAAAACTATTTTTTTTGCTGACAATATGATGATATATTTGGAAAATCTCAAGAGATTCAGCTAAAAAGTTAGTTGAACCAGTAATTTTAGCAAAGTATCAGGATATAATGTAAACTCACATAAATCATCAGCATTCCTACATATCACCAACAAAACCCTGCAAGAAGAGATAGTAAGAGATTCCTCATTTAAAATGACTGTAGACAGCATAAAATACCTGAGAATATATCTGCCAGTGCAAACCCAGGAACTACACGAACCTAATGATAAAACACTTTTTATACAAATAAAGTCAGAATTAAATAATTGGAGAAATATTAACTGTTCATGAAGAGACAGAGCCAATATAGTCAAAATGACAATTCTGCCAAAACTAATCCATTTATACAATGCCATCCCAAATAAATTACCAAAAAATTATTTTATTGAGCTAGAAAAAACAATAACAAAATTGATTTGGAAGAACAAAAGGTCAATAACATCAAAGAAATTAATGAAAAACGTAAAAGAAAGAGTTTTTGCAGTGCCAGATCTTAAACTATATTATAAGACAGTAATTATCAAAACTATCTGGTATTGGTTAGGAAATAGGAAGGTGGATAAGTGGAACAGGGTAAATATATAATATACAGTAATAATGATGATAGTAACTCTGTGTTTGACAAATGTAAAGATTTGAGCTTGTGGGATAAGAATTCACTATTTGGTAAAATTGGTGGGAAAACCAGAAATAGTCTGGCAGAAATTGGGTATAGACCAATATCTTGCACCATTTATCAAGATAAGGTCAAAATGGATGCATAACATAGATATAAAGGGAGATATCATAAGAAAATGAAAAGAACACAGAACATATTACTATTAGACTTATGGATAGGAGAAGAATTTATGAATGAACAAGAGTTAGGGAGCATTGTGAGACGTAAAATGGATCATTTTGATAACATTACATAAAGAAGGTTTTGTACAAATAAAACCAATGTAGCCAAGGGAAAGCAGAAAATGGAGGAAAAAATGTTATAGACAGTTTCTTGGATAAAGGTGTCATATCTCAAATATATAGAAAACTTTGCCAAATTTATAAGAATATGAGTCATTCCCCAATTGATAAATGGTCAAAGGACATGAACAGACAGTTTTTTGATGAAGAAATCAAAGGTATCAGGCTCTGATTCTTACAATCTAGTCAATAGCCCACAGATGCTCAGATTCCTTAAGAGTCTAGCTAATATGGCGAATCTTTAATAAACCTTGTTTTTGACTGCAAAAAAAAAAAAGAAATCAAAGCTATCTACAGTCATACAAAAAATGCTCTAAATCAATATTAGAAAAATGCAAATTAAAACAATTTTGAGATATCATCTCACACCTGTCAGACTGTCTCAAATGATGAAAAGGGAAAATGATAAATGTTGAAGGGGGTGTGGAAAAATTGGGACACTAAGGCATTGTTGTTGGAACTGTGAACTGATCCAGCTGTTTTGGAGAGCATTCTGGAATTATGCCCAAAGAGTTATAAAACTGTGTATACCCTTTGACCCAGCAATACCACTATTAGTTCTTTTTCTCAAGGTAAGCAGGAAAAAAGTTCTAAACTATGTTCTATACTATTTACAGCAGCTCTCTTAGTGGTGGCAAAGAACTGGGAAATTGAGGGGATGCCCATCAGTTGGGGATTGGCTGAACAAGATATGGTATACGATTGTGATGGAATACTACTGTGCTGTAAGAAATAATAAAGAGGTTGATTTTAGAAAAACATGGAAAGACTTGCATGAAATAATGAAGAACGAAATGAGCAGAGTCAAGAGAATGTTGTACATAGTAACAGCAGCATTATTCAAAAAATAACTATGAAGGACTAAGTTATTCTGAGTATTATAAATACACAAATCAAGTACAAAGGACTTACGAAGGAAGACACTATTCACCTGCAGAGAAAGAAATGATACACAGAAGTAGCACAGTATGGTTTACTTTCTATCTATTTATCTCTTTCTTTTTTTCTATCTATCTATCTACCTGTCTGTCTATCTATCTATCTATCTATCTATCTATCTATCTATCTATCTATCT